TCTACTAGTTCAGTGCATTTTCTCCTGATTGTTCTGGTCTACATTGGTTTCTCTCCCAACTGTCCTGTATTTTAGTGCTTGGAGAGAGGGCACTCTTCCATATCTGTGAGCCAGAGTGAGCAGAGTCTGGAATTTGAGCCCCAGTGCAGTTCTGTAGAGGTGAGTTTGTAGTATTGAGATTGTTTGATAGTTTGCTAACGTCAATCCATGTGTGTGTGTGTGTGTGATATCACCTGCATACATGGTGGTTTGTACTGACACATTTCCTGAAGGTGTTCAGTGAGTCTCATAGTTCATTCTAACTTCAATCTGTGTGTGTGTGTATGATATCACCTGCATACATTGTGGTTTGTACAGACACATTTCCTGAAGGTGATCAGTGGGTCTCATAGTTCATTCTAACATCAATCAGTGTGTGTGTGATATCACCTGCGTACATGGTGGTTTGTACTGACACAGTAGCCCAATGTATGTATTGGTCTGAAAGTCACGCTTCCTCTGTTTACTTCCTGTCTCCTCACAGCAACCTGCCTCGGAAATACTCCCCAGAGATGCTGGTGATGCTGAGCAGGTAAGTCTGAGTGTCGAATGAATTGCTTGGTCATCTTAAACCTTGTAGGGTTTTTGGGTCTGTGGCACTAGTCTTCAGTGTTGATAAAAATGGTCCCAGTGACCCAAACACCCTACAAGGGCTACACTGGGAATTAAAACTGTTCAGTGAGTCTCAGATTTCATTCTTAGTTCTACTAGTTCAGTGCATTTTCTCCTGATTGTTCTTGTCTACATTGGTTTCTCTCCCAACTGTCCTGTATTTTAGTGCTTGGAGAGAGGGCACTCTTCCATATCTGTGAGCCAGAGTGAGCAGAGTCTGGAACTTGAGCCCCAGTGCAGTTCTGTAGAGGTGAGTTTGTAGTATTGAGATTGTTTATGATAGTTTGCTAAGGTCAATCCATGTGTGTGTGATATCACCTGCATACATGGTGGTTTGTACAGACACATTTCCTGAAGGTGTTCAGTGAGTCTCATAGTTCATTCTAACATCAATCAGTGTGTGTGTGTGTGATATCACCTGCATACATGGTGGTTTGAACAGACACATTTCCTGAAGGTGTTCAGTGAGTCTCATAGTTCATTCTAACATCAATCAGTGTGTGTGTGTGTGATATCACCTGCATACAAGGTGGTTTGTACAGACACATTTCCTGAAGGTGATCAGTGAGTCTCATAGTTCATTCTAAAATCATCCGTGTATGTGTGTGCGTGATATCACCTGCGTACATGGTGGCTTGTACTGACGCATTACCTGAAGGTGTTTATGTGGACACATCAGGTGGAAGCTTTCAGTCTTTTTGAGTTTCATTCGGAGTGTGTGTGTGTGTGTGTGATATCACCTGCGTACATGGTGGTTTGTACTGACACAGTAGCCCAATGTATGTATTGGTCTGAAAGTCACGCTTCCTCTGATGTTTATACTTCCTGTCTCCTCACAGCAACCTGCCTCGGAAATACTCCCCAGAGATGCTGGTGATACTGAGCAGGTAAGTCTGAGTGTCGAATGAATTTCTTGGTCATCTTAAACCTTGTAGGGTTTTTGGGTCTGTGGCACTAGTCTTCAGTGTTGATTAAAAATGGTCCCAGTGACCCAAACACCCTACAAGGACTACACTGGGAATTAAAACTGTTCAGTGAGTCTCAGATTTCATTCTTAGTTTTACTAGTTCAGTGCATTTTCTCCTGATTGTTCTGGTCTACATTGGTTTCTCTCCCAACTGTCCTGTATTTTAGTGCTTGGAGAGAGGGCACTCTTCCATATCTGTGAGCCAGAGTGAGCAGAGCCTGGAATTTGAGCCCCAGTGCAGTTCTGTAGAGGTGAGTTTGTAGTATTGAGATTGTTTATGATAGTTTGCTAACGTCAATCCGTGTGTGTGTGTGTGTGTGTGTGATATCACCTGCATACATGGTGGTTTGAACAGACACATTTCCTGAAGGTGTTCAGTGAGTCTCATAGTTCATTCTAACATCAATCAGTGTGTGTGTGTGTGTGTGATATCACCTGCCTACATGGTGGTTTGTACTGACACAGTAGCCCAATGTATGTATTGGTCTGAAAGTCACGCTTCCTCTGATGTTTACTTCTTGTCTCCTCACAGCAACCTGCCTCGGAAATACTCCCCAAAGATGCTGGTGATACTGAGCAGGTAAGTCTGAGTGTTGAATGAATTGCTTGGTTGTTCATATTTGTTGTCACTTTAATTTCTCAAGTGTTTTATTTTCTCCTGTCAGTGTCCTAAACACCGTTTGGTGTGTGGTGATATGTCTGCTTTTGACAAATGCATTCACTGCCTGGGACCTTTCGCCTCTTTGAAATGGATGGGGTTCAAATGCAAAGGTAAAATGTATATATTGAGTGCACAGCCTATGGAAAGTCCTTGTCTTGACTGAGTAGATTGGGTCTGAACCCCAAAAGACACATGATGCAAATGGCCACAGGTCACACTTAACCTCAGACCACCTGTGTTACCATGGATACGCGACGCTCCACTCTGTAATGTGGCTGCTTGGCGCGGTGACAAAAAAAGCATATGTGAAACCGAAAAATTAAATGTTGTGTACTGTTCACTTTGGCGGCTGTGCCCGGGTGGACCTAAATGTGTAAAATCATTCTTAAACAGACTTGGAGTTGAGACCAAACTGATCTAAATCTGTTTCAGATTGTCCAGGACTCTGGCATCTAACCTGCTACAGACGGATGATGGGTCAAGACTCATCAGACCTCATTGATTCTATGAGCTCTGGAAGCGAGTATGTGCCGGACTCTGAGTCCGGGGATTCCGATTCTGATTCAAGTATACCCTTGGTGCCTCAACAGTCAAAAATGCATTCAAGTCGAATAATACAAGAGTTACCCAGTGACAACACAAGTATTCCAGATGAAGCTGGTACATCAAAATGTTTGCAGCCTCTTGCTGATGATATAGATGATGCTGTTGTTGACCCAGACTCGACTGCTGGACATATGGATGTTGGTGCTGATGAAACATCAGATTCAGCAGCTTCTAAACAATACTCTTCAAATGGGCAACTTAAGAGCAAACGCAGGTGTACCTCCACGCGTTCCAGCTTGACCATTCGGAACTACTGTTTCATTTGTGGTAAGCCACAAAGTAGACTGACTCGACACCTAAAAACTCACATGTCACACCCAGAAGTATCCTATGCATTTTATCTCCCAGAGAAGTCAAAGGAACGCAAAGTGTTGTTTGAAAAAATGCGAAATAAGGGGAATTTTAAACATAACACTGCCATTCTTCAAGGTGAAACGGGTCAATTGAAAATGAAGAGAAGGCCAAAAGCTGCTGCTGTGGCTGGAACTTTGGTGCACTGTATGCACTGTCTTGGTTTATATGTCCGTAAAGATCTATGGAGACATGTGCGACGATGTCCCTGTAGGCCAGACAACAAGGATTCTGAGGAACGGACCGGGAGAACAAGAGTGCTGGCTTTGCTACAGCCCAGGAGGCCGTTTTCAGCCAACACTTTTCAAGTGGAATGTGGAAGATTCTGAGCTCCATAAAGGTGGATGAAATTGGCCTGACTTTGAGAAATGACCTCTCCATTGTGCACTTTGCCCAGTCACTTTACAACAGACACGGACAAGACCCCACAAAACATGAGTACATGCGACAGAAGCTCCGTGAAGTGGGAAGGCTGCTAGTCTGTCTGCGCCACGACTTCTCAATACACAGCCTGGAGGAAGCTATCAAGCCATGTAACTTTCAGAATGTTGTTCAGGCAGTTCAGAAAGTTGCTGGCTTTGATGAAGAAAAGCTGTCCTATCGTACACCAAGCCTGGCTCTGAAGCTGGGGCACACACTAAACAAGATCTGCAACATCATTCAGTGTCGAGCTCTGATGGCAGAGGATGACAGGCTGGTTAAGTCAGCTGAAACATTCAGTAAACTGTACACCTCCAAGTGGTGTGAGCTGGTGTCCCATAGTGCTCTTAATACGCTGAGTACGCTGAAG